ATAAACAACCCAAAAAAAAACAACAACACGAAAACAAAATTAACAACAACCAAAAAAAAAAAGAAAAGGACAGAAAAAAAAAACTTGGGATCGAAATCGAGAACAGATCTAAACCTTGGTATCAGTACACTGTGTGAATTCAAGTATCGACCAATCATCAATCTTTCTTTCGTGTTTTTTAAATTTTTATTTTACATTTTTCTTTTGTCTGAACAGGAAGCTGAGGAGAAACCAGATCACCACAGTGTCTGATGACGTTTTTGCTCGGGCGTCCAAGATTGAGAGCTTGTAAGTTCGCAACCCTAGAATAATATTATTATAAAAAGGTCATATCTCAGTTACTCTCAATTTTGTTGTGTTATCTGAGTTCCCACTTTCCCCATAATATTCCACGTGAAAGTTCGCAACTCCAGAATAGTATTATAAAAAGGTTACATCTCAGTTACTCTCACTTTTGAGATATCTGAGTTCTCATTTTTCCCACATCATTCTACGTGTTAGTTGGCAACCCCAGAATGATATAATTATATAATAAATATGTTATATCTCAGTAACTCTCACTTCTGAGATCATTGTATCTGAGTTCCCATTTTTTCCACTCTATTCTACGTCTCTCAAATGAAAAACACCTTGAACATTGTAGTTTTATCTGAAAATAAATAGATAAATAAAGGAATTGGAGTTGTAATCGAAGTCAAATCTGTATAAGATGGCCTTCCACTAACTAGGAGAAAATGGGTTGTGTTTGACAGGTGGGTGTCTTTCACAGTGTGATTATGATCTTTATAAAATGTGCAAAGAGAGAAATAGGAAGTGACCGTTTGTGCAGCTGATTGTCCTATACAGGCAAAGATAGTACAAGACAAGATGGGCCACTCAGCCTAAAAAGTGTCCGCAGGAAGTATGCTCTTTGCTTCAGATGGCGCTGCAGTCTGTTTTGAAGCTCTCTTTCGTTTTTCCAGAAGAAGAATAGGAATAGCACCTCCTTGCGTGCGCAGATCGACTGCTGTTCATCAGCAGTTCGGGTATGTTCAGTGCGGAGTTTTAGGTTTTTTAAATTCTAATGACCTCTCGCCCTTCATTCTAAAGTCAAATTAAACGAAGAAAACCATCTCCTTTTCCTCCGGAAGAGGTTTTTTGTCAGCGTAATCATTTTTAAAAAGCGTTCTTCCGAAATTTATCCCAAAACTTGCTAGTTTCACTTTGATTTTTTAAAACTCAAGTAGGGTAACTCTGTTCTCAAAGAGTGCGCTTTTGTGAAGAGGGCGCCACCAAATTTTGAGGACACTTTTTTAATTGGCTCAAAGAGAGAAGTGGCCCATCTTGTCTTGTACTATCTTTGATACAGGTCGCCGTTACGTCAGGTTCGACTATATTTGAATTCTCACTTTTCACGTATTATATCATTATGTCACTTGAATACAGAACACTACTAGTATGAACATAGATTTATCTAAAAAGAGGAAGAGATAGATTAATAAAGGAATCATGGTTGTAGCTCCAGTTTCAACGCTAAAACGTCTGGGCTAGACTACTATGGCCACTCTGGGGTCGTGAGTTCCTAATACATGGTTCATTTTGGAGACTGGCTTTACATAATGGAATATTTCCTCTAGGCTACCGGACTCGTAATCGGGACATTGCAGGTTCCGGGATTTTGAGTGTCCGCTCTGTCCGACATGTTCTTGGGAAAGGCACTTTACACAAATGTTTCTTTTTAATTCTGTTCCATCGGGGACGGACGTTATATTCGGAGGCCCAGTCTCTTAAATAAACCTTATGGTGATGCAAGAGGTGTTAAACCTTTACAGTTCTGCACATTGTTTAACTGTTACTTGCTGTTGAGCGGTTTGATTAATCGCTACCTTACTCGTAGAATTACACATTTCTATCTGCTCAGCACCTAGTTTTGAGATATTTTATGTCAAAGATTATGCATTCAACAGCATGTCAAGCTTTTTGGAATGCAATTCTTTGAATATTTTGATAACGGCTCCGAAAAATCTTACGATTTTGATAGAGCAAATAGAGCATTTGGTTTCTGACGGCATGGTATTAGTAACTGAAAATGGACAAAAACGTCAGATAAAACTTTGTAATTCTAAGGTAGTGTAATATTATATAATAAGCCTACCCCGTGGTTCCTCCAACAGAGTACGCAGTTCCCTCACTACTAAGGTGCCACTCGTACACAACATTTTAGCTGTCTTTAGAGGGACTTTTTTTCTTCGTATATATATTACTTCTGTATTTTGTCTTTCTCTCTTCCGTGGCTATGTTATGTTGACAAAGCTGTTGGTTGGTACTGTAGAATCCCCATAAAGCCCGCGTTGTGGGTACACAATAGCGCTGTTCCTAAAGTGCTACTCGCCGTAGGGAGCAGTATCTCGGTCTTTAGAGTGGCGTCTTTTTTTTTTCGTATATTTCTTCTGAACTTTGTCTTTCTCTTTGTGTCGTGGTTATCTGTTTACAGAGCTTTTTGGACGCGCACTATTTCATCTCTCAACTCTGTGCGCCCAATGTTCTGATCTTCATCCACTATGATGACAGACGAGCAACAACAACACCGAGTGTTTGGCAGGCAAAGTTTAGTCCCCCCCCCCCCTTCGCTTTCCCCCTTTAAAAAGACCCAGTATGGGGGCCCCACTTCGTAATGAACTTTTACAGTATGTCTCGAAGGATATTAAACATCACAGCGCGGCTGGCAAAAAAATAACATTTAAATTCTCTTATAATCCCTCATTTTCCTTTGTTATATGTTTTTTTCCCCCAGTCCTTCACTTTCTATTTTTTCTGTGCCGAATTGCGTCTCTTAACAGTTGTTCTGAGATGTCTGTCTGACTGCCTTCCTGTCGGCCGTCCTGTATGTATGTCTTTAAAATTGTCTGTTCATCCTTTCTCTCTCTCTCTCTCTCTCTCTCTCTCTCTCTCTCTCTCTCTCTCTCTCT